AGGACGCATGGTATTGAAAATGGGCAAAATCGGACAATAACCACGCCTATCTCCTATATAACGGTAATTTTTGGAATACGGAATCTTCGATAAATCAGTAAATATTAAAGCTAATTTATTCAAAATTGATGCTTGCGCAATCCTTTACCAAGAAATACGTTTATGATAAAATTTTGGAAAACGGGCGTGGCACCGCCCACTTATGATCACATATATGTATGTATCTCGGAACCGTTCTACCAATTTGTACCAAACTCGGTATGGTTATTGTACAAAATGTTGAAAATTATTGAAATCAGACTAAAATTGAGGTCGCTTTTCATATAACGGTAAATTTCAGAAATGCTTGAAACTTCAATATTTCGAAATTTAAGGACGCTAAATTACTCAAAATTGGCACACCCCGGCTTACCATGTTGCGGTGGCTTTCGGAAAGGTGAAAAGCATATATTTAATACTTGCCCCGGGTATTTAATGTTCGCCTCCGCCTGAATTTAGACTTTATTACTTTTTACTTGTGTGTTTTTCGAACCGTTGAACCGAACCGAAACCCCGGTTCAAAGACCAAAAAACCCGCTTTGACGAATCAATACAAAAGTGCAAAAACGGTTCGAACCGCTGAACCGAACCGACAAATTCCCTGATCTTGAATTAAAAAAAAAAACTTGAGAAAACTGAACATTTTTAAAGGAATAATGGTAGCATTTCCTCAACGTTTTTGGGCCTTGTGAGATTTTGAACGCTCTTTCCAGTTTAAGAGAATTCCTTTATTTATTTCTTCAAAGTTTAAATATTTTTTCATACTCACTTTTGTTCTTGTAGTGTTGCTGTGATTTCAGTTATTCTAACTAAGCTTCTAGCACATTTTAACTCTGCCGATACTTTCGTACATTGTAAATCGCCATACAAATGCGTCTCTTCAGAACACTTTTGCGCCTATAAACAAACACCGAAAATTTTACATATATATGAAAATAAGATAACCAGCGACTGATTTATAAACTTGCTGAACCCACTTGAATTACCTGTTTTTCCAGTATATCAGCTTGCCAATTGGTGACATGTGTAATTAAATCAGCCCTAAAATACTTTGCTAATTTCGGTGAAATTTCTGGACCCTGTGAACGGCCGGCCTGTACAGATGACGCCACACAACCTTGCAGCGTGCTCAACGACGCGGACGATGTGTTTTCCACTGTGGTCCACATAGAATGTATTGTAATATGTTTTGATAATAACAATTTAAAAAGACATTGCACTTACACTTCCGCTGTTGTTGTTCCATAGCAGCAACATTTAGGTCCATTTCTTGCGTTGGCGTCGGTGGTCCCTCACCAGGCAGAATACCAATAACTCCACTACCGCCAGCATTTATGCTGACATTCGCTAAACTAGATGAGGAACAGAGGCCACTGTTGTTGCTGCTGCCAATCGAATTCATGCCACTGCTGCCCTCGACAGTCTTTAAACCGTATGGTGCGTTACAAGCAGCATATGCGCCAGCATTTACGCCGCCGCAACTGCCCACATTATTATTGTGCCCAGATACAGGAACAACACCACCGCTACCACCAACACTTGTTATAGGACTTTTTGTGTAGCCCATCGGCGACATGCCGTGTGAATGGGCCAGATTGTAGTGTGGCGAGTTCACTGAATTATCCCTGCGTGTTAAGCAAACATTTTCGTTAAGGTTTTTTAATTTTATTTTTTTTTATTATTATTTATTATTCACCTTAGAACTATCACCGCTGATGAGGTCGCATTCATCGCGTGGTTGTTGCCATCAATGGAAGTACCGGCATTAGCCATCATATGCAACGCCTCGTTGCCACTCATACCATGTTGTGCCATTTGATGGTGGTGATGCAACGCCGCCTGTTGATGCTGCTGTCGCATCAACAACGCTGCCTTCTGCTGCGAATTCAACATCATTTCTTGTTGCTCTTTTGAGCCCATTTTCGGCGGACCGGGTGCATTCGAGTTCAAGTGATGATCCACCTGAATAATGTAATTTTTTCCAATAAACATCACACATTTTTAAAATAATAATTTTAATTAATTTTAATTCAATTTTAACTCACGATGGGCGATGATGCCGATACTAGATGCGCTTGCTGTTGCATCATTGCCACTGGATCCATTTTTCGATGATTACTATTATTTTGTGTTTGCATAACACCAGCAACCATCACAGGTAGGCCCGCATTAGAGGGCACGGAGGCGAGTCCGGTGGCGGGCAGCATTGTTGCCCCGCCCACCACAACGCCCGAGCCATGCCCTGACGCGGATGATGCGGAGAAATGCATTGATGCAGCAGCTGCATTGGCCGCTGCAGCAGAAGCGGATGCGGAGGAGGAGGATGGCATAACAGTACTGGCGTTGGGATGCGATGCTAGACGTGGTAATGCATTCGGCAGGCCAACAGTGGATGTTGGAATTGATGATAGGTCATTGTGCTGTGCATTAACCAGACCATGAACAGAAGGCGCACCGGTAATCGGGTAGCTAGCCTCCGATGTTGGCGTCGAGTCGCCTGGACTAATGTCCATGTCAGGGTTTTCGGCTATGCGACCTTTAAGGGAATACGATATGTATATAAAAAGGATAATAATAAAAGTAATCTCAATAAATTTACCATCCAAACGTCTTCGGTGACTTGGAGGTCCAGCATCATTTTCATAATTCCACCTCAGTCGTGAATTTCCCCGAGAACTGGAATGTTTCGCGTAAGCTAAATGGTTGACCGTTGTAATAAAAAAATATGTAAGCGCTTTTATGATATTTTACTGTATATTTTTAATATTTATACGTTAGATTTTAAATGCAGACGCATAAATTTTAAATTTAGACATTTATTTAATTGTATTAAAATTTTTTTTATTTATAACGTTTAACTGAGAATATATTTTATAAGAAATAGAAATAATTTGAGTTAACTTTTAATTTTTGCTTTTTAGGCAAGAAATACAGACCATTTTAAACTTTTTAATCTATGTGGCAAAAATAAAATGCTGAATTTGCCTAGTATTTTTCAAGTAGAAAACAACCTGTAATTTTGTAAGCATTTCAGTATGTCATCAATCGGTGTGCAGTGATAAACCTACATAGAGACTACCGTAATGAGACAATCCTTGCTAATATCCTTCCGAGAACAAATCTTCATTAGTCTTTGAGTGCGTTGAGAGGCTCAACGCCCTTGCTGTATATAACAACAGCCAACTACTGTGGGTGCCCGGTCATAAGGGAGTTCACGATAATGAGATATCGGACGATCACAAAAGGCTAAATAAGTAGGAGCAAACAACACTAGCATAGTACAAGAGGACTACGCCAAGCCAAAAGCATACTGCTGGGTATAACATAAAAAGACACAAACACCTAATTGACCTCCCCAAACATAAACTTAGAATCGTTACAGGCATTCTCACTATGCTAAGAAATCTGGGAATCTAAGCGAATGACCTCTGTCGTTCTTTGACGCGACTTTGGCACACCATTGCACCTGCTCCTTAAGTGTGATGCCGTATCGAGGCAACGCGAAATAGCACAGCCTCAATGTGGCCAGAGAGAGAGCACATACGGAGCTATTGTGGGCTGTATGAAGTCAATAGGATAACAAGAAATATTGTGACGAATGGAGGGCAATATAGACCCACTAGATCGCGATGCATACCTCTTAAATTATCTATCCTTATTAAATTATCTATCTTAAGCAAAAGACAAAGCTGAGATTTATATAGATTTTTGGTCTTGGAACTGAACCTCGGTAAAATGATTTTTTATTTTTTTTTTTACATACACTAATGAGTTATCAACACATACATACCTGATCTGCAGAAACGATCTTCACGATCTCTATCGCGATCTTTGTCCCGGTAATCCTTTTCTCTATGTTGATCACGTGCCAGAGTTCTACAAAATAATAAAATACCATATCTTTCATTTGATCAACATTCTACTTTCAAAATTTCCCAAGAAAACATACCGTTCTCGCTCCATCCATTCCTTTGGTTTTTCCCACTGTGAAACTTCAGTTTTGCAATTGTAATAATACATCTTTCCTAGAGCGCATGAAATAAATCACAAAGTAATAAACATCAGTCGCATACTCACTCATAGAAAACTACCCGATAGACTTACCCGATGAACTGACATGCTCACTCCAATCGCCACAACGTGCTACACGTTCGCCGCGATCACTACGCTCACCGCCGCCACCACTTCCCCCACCACCACCGCCGCGATCGCGCTCACGATCGCCGCCGCTACCACCTCCACCGCGATCACTGCGATCTCTATCACGATCCCTGTCGCGATCGCGTTCTCTATCACGATCACGTTCAGAGCCACGATCACGTTTGCTGTCTCTTAAATCACCACGATCACGATCACGATCTCGGTCACGATCTGTCGAACCAGACCGTTTGTCACCACCACTGGAAGAACAAAGCTTTGCTCCGCCGCTTCCACCTCCACGTCGATCCAGCCTATCATGATTGGTGCGATGTGATTCAGAATCACGATCATTGCCACCACCACTGCCACCGCCACGTCTATCGCGTTTATCTAAACAAGGAAATAAATGTAAGCGAATAAAATATTTATATATATAGTACATATATACGGTTGAAAACTACCCATGTCAGCATCTCAGAAAATGGTTCAAACACACTCACAACTCATCTCACCTGCCGATATATTCAATTTATATTGAGATAGCGCGTTTTCGAATCGACAGCTGACGTAGGGCGTTTTTGAACCAAATTCTGAAATAGGGCGTGCTTCGACCATGGCTGAGATAGCGCCTTTTCGAACTGGAAGGGCGATATTCTACTCAGTCGGCGATATAACAGCGCAACAACAATAATACACACATCACATACAAATATCTATAATTTACATGCAAAGCTATTGACAGAATCAAAATTTCTCTCTACTGAATAATGGATTTTAATATGAAAATTTGGGCAATTTATTATTTTACTTGAAACGATTTACAACATATTTGACAGTCTAAAAGCTGCTGAGAAATGAATGCTTCCAAATAGCTATCAAAATGTGCCTTACTTTGTAGCAAAAGCAAATTTTTATTAGTCTATGTGTAGTAATAGAGAAAAAAAGATTATGCATTTCTTACAGCCACCACAAACTGCCCCATCATAGTTAGTATCAACCATAACTTTGCACATCTGTAAAACGTACATTCATCAACACGGAAAAGGACAACTGGATGGTGCACCCTGGGTCCTAACCCCCTAACGTGCGTGATCGCATCCGACAGACTCAGGTAAAATGGGATGAGCATCCTTAAATCTGTAATCTCTGCAGTGGGGTCAGAAAGGTATAGACAACGTTAAAATACTTCTCCAACTCGACCACACGAAAGGACTACGTACATATGTAACTATTAGCTTTGGCAACACGTCCTCATCGGGACCATGGAAGTAAGCGCGCTTATTCACCCGGCAGTTTATTGTGCATACAGAAAGGCAGAGCGTCGCACCGTGCTAAAGGCTGCTAATAACAGCGCAAAATGTTCTAAAGCACGAAATCTTGAAGCAGATGCTGAAGAAACTATGTCGCTCGAAAGGCGAACGCCTCACCGCAGCGTACAGCGCTTCAGTGTCCTCGCTGATAATGCCAGAAATTTGAATAGTACTCCTGTTCCCAGTGGCAAAGATCGTACCCATCGCAGACCACCCACACGAATTTCGTAAGCACTGATTACTCAATTTTATCAAACATGCTGGTTGATTTTAACATAGTCATTCCAGGTAAACAGTACCAAAACTACATTTAGTTGCCACTTAAGTATTCTAACCTAATATTTTTATATGCCCTTAAGATTCGTATGTCGTGTGCAAGTCTCTATACATATTTCTTTTAACAACTCACCTGTTGAATATTTCTCCTTTTTATACACATCGCGATCTCGA